GTTTCGCCGGCATCGTAGTCGGCATCGTCAGTGAGTTTTATCATTCGTAGCACTATATTACAACTCGTCAGAGACAAGTTTTATATGATCGACTGGTAGTCTCGACAACCTACTCATAAACGAAAAATAAGTAGTAATCGATTTTATAAAGCAAAATGCAAATTTGCTTTATAGGCAATCATACACAGAATGTGGTATGGGAAAATGTCTGGCCTTCCTTTAAATTCCCATCCACCCTATGCTCCAAGGACACTCGGGGAGGTCTGACGTAGTAGTTAACGTGCCGATTTCATATGTTGCATTATCATGGTTCGAGTCCTGCTGGGGATGCTGATAAGACCTAGGCGAGTTCGAAACTGCAGTCCACTTCAGCCTGAACAAGAACACCTTTTTGAAAGCAAGACTATTTGAAATTAGATGGAAACGTAAGGTCTACTCATTTCATCATGGGAAAATTCAACTACCAGTTGCTTTATCACTTAAACGAAATAGAGTGAATATATCTCGTTCTTCATGGTTTTTATCACTTTAACTTGTAATTGTTGATGCTAGGTTATGAGTGAGGTATAATTTTTATATCACCTCACTAAAATTGGATTTAAACTTTTTGAATCAAAAATATGTTGATCTACATGTAGACGGACAAATTGTTTTTTTTAGTCGAAGGTATGAAGACCAAGATGGTGTGGCCTTTTGTGTGTTTTTTTTATTGAAATAATTTTAATAGATGAGATTACTTCGGCCAATCTGATGACAATCTAAGAAGTTGGAGATGTCGACCTCAAGGAAACTCCCTGGTCGGCAAGCTCAACTATACTAACGAAGATATCTTGCCTCCTTTATGGCGAAAGGAGATATCGTAGTACGTTCTAAGGCATTTAAACCATCGTTTGAGTGATATTTCAGTTTTGATCATTACCTCATGTGAATGAAAAAATCAGTGAAAAACAAACTATTCAGGCCAGATTTGGCTTTAGATAAGAAGACCAAAATAGTAGTGTCTCTTTAAGCTTTACGTTGTTTTCGCAAATTGGTCGCTGAGACAAAGATACCCCGAAAATGTACCCAGTTCTGCGTCTTCTGTCATAGTAGTCATGATAACTTCCAGTATCTTATCGTTGACTTAAGAGATTTCTTGACATTTTGGTGCTGGGTACTAAGGCTAGTGAGCCTTGCTGATGATGGTGAATACACTGCCAACGAAATGTCTATTAAGGTACCAAGTCAAATTTTCGATCTTGTAAAGTATCATGATTGCTCTGGCAGAAGACGCATAACTTGAAACATTCTTCAAGCTGCAAAAACAAAGCCAAATCAAACCTAGATTTGCCTTCTTGCCATTTCCCAGTGTGTTGCTGGCAGGCGTTTGGGAAATGAAAGTGTAATGTGCTTAAAAAAAGAACTATTTATTGCAGCCAACGTCGCTTTTAGCTCTCTGCATATTCCATCATTTGGAGACTTAATCCAAAGCATATTTGGGGGACAATACCAGTCGAAAAGCTCATTTGTCGAGTATGCTAGGCCAATAGAATATCGTGGCCTGTCGCCGGGGCGAAATTGGAGACCTTCTGCAGTTTGATCACTTTTAGGCCCATCCCCTCTTTACAGATAAAAAATATGACAGATTCGGTTCAATGCCTGACACTTGAGACGCACAATGCTAGCCTCACAATCCGGACTGAACGTGGCACAAATGATCCCGGTTCTCAACAGGCTGACAGATTCGAATTCCATATCCTGGGGCAGATGAGAACTGGCCAGGTCGTCAACATTGTCACCGTTGTAACCAGATCTGCCTGAAAATGTGCCGAATAGAGAAAGGAATAAAAGGGACAGGAGGGAATAACATGGGATAATCAAGATGAGTTTTAGAGTTTAGACGCAGAAGTTATGCTTAACAAGGGTGGACATTTTCGTAGAGCATATTTCTGTACCTCAGCATAGCTACACAATTGGACAGTAATTAGGTCGTAGATGCCGTATACAATCAAAGAGAATATGTAACATTAACAAAAAAATAAAGATAAGCTATTAACTCCGGTTGGTGATGATGATGATGATTTAACGTTAACAAGCATGTTAATAGGATAGCAGGAACTAGCCGAAATTCTTTAAAAATAAGAGTTGTATTCACCCTAGATCGTATAGTATGATGAAGGAATGATGGTTTGCATTTTCCACAATCATATGAATAGGACTCACGATATCCTTAAATTTCACTTAGCCTTCCTTTCCAAAAGTTCTTCTAATCGAGGCAAGAGTGGATGTTAGTTTCGATCTCATCAGTACCCTAGACCGTGATTGAACAAGGAAAGTAAAAGCCTATGGCATAGACAGTGGCTT